AAAACCAGTCTTTCAACCTAGAATTAGATTATATCCCCTATGATCTAATCAAGGAAATTGCTACAGCAGTTCTTCTCTCTCTTCTCTGTATCATTAATTTTCTCCTCTCTACTGGATTACTTTTATCAACACACAAAGCTAGTATTATTTCCCACCTCTTAAAAAAAAAAAAAACTCTTTGACACGCATTTAATCCTTCCACTACTGTCCCTTTCCTCTTTTTTCTTTTCACCAAAACTCTTTAGTTGTCTGTACTCATGATCTTCACATTCTCTCTTCTCATTCCCTCCTTCTATTTCCGCCTTTATCCACCATAAAACTAGTGAACTTACTATTCTTAAGATCCACAATGAGTCCACATTCCTAAATACAATAACACATGACAATATATTCTTCCTTTTTAGATTGACGACATGTAAGAGGAAGAATATATTGTTCCTTTTTAGGTTGACATCCTGTAAGAGAAAGAATATATTGTCATGTGCTGTGTTTAAGAATGTGGACTCACTGTTGATCTTAAGAAAAGCAAGTCCACTGGTTTTGTGTTGGCAAAACAAAAACAAAAAACCAAAAAAACCCTGATTAGAAGGGATTAAGGAAGGAATGAGAGGAGGAATAGGAGGAGAGAATGTGGAGATCATGATTATAGACAACTAAAGAGTTTTGTTGTAAAGAAAAAGGAGAATAGGGATATAAGTCGAAGGATTAAACGAGTGTCAAAAGAAAGCTAATTTGGGATTAGGGAAGAATTACAAGTCAGGACATGTACCTTATCGTGGATCATAGGCACATCCAAGGTTGTAGTAAGGGTAAAGTTCTAAAGACAAAAGAGAGAAAGAAGTATCTACAAGTTGTTTCGAAACAAAAAACATTGGTTACAGAGACTTATGGCAGGAATTGACATCTGTTTATTAGTGAGATAGTCAGGCAAGCATTCTTGTGTAATCAGCTAGCTGTCCTTGTTTGGCTAGCTGTCCCTGTGCTGCTAGCTCTCCTTGTGTGACTCATGTAGCAAACTGCACTTTGAAAAAATGTCCTGTGGTATTTTTTTGGTGGAAGCATAGTGCATGAGTGCCCCTCCCTCATGGCCTCCTGGCTCTATTATCTCAGGGTTAGACATAAGCAACTTCATTTTGGTATTGATAAATTTCACAGTGACAATCACAGCATTTGATATAACTGAGCACTGTTCCCTCCTTCCGACACTTTTATTCACATAGATTTCAGGCTACCATATTGGCTTCTGTTTTGCATTCTGTCTCAGTCTCTTTTGCGTCTTCTCATTTTCTTAAGCTCTAAGTGTTAGAAAGCCCCAAGGCACAGTCTTCGGACTTGCTTTCTCTTCCATTCACTTTTAAATCTTAGCTGATCTCATCTAGTTTCTTCTCTTTCCTATCTACCACCACCTCTCATTATCATCTAGTCCTGTGGCTGAAAATAGTACCTATATGCTGATGACCCCAAAGCTATATTTATATCCTAGACCCCTCCTATGAACTTTAAGCTAACAAATTCAATAGTCCACTTTGAATTTATTTCCCTTTGGATATTGAATAGATGTTTCATACATGGCATTTATAAAACAGAATTCATAATTTTGCCTCCAAAACTTAGTCCTTCTTATCTTTTCCATTTCAGTTAACAGCGACTCCCTCCTGCCAACAGTCAAGCCAAAGATCCTGTTGTCATACCATTTTTCCTCTTTCTCTCACGCCTTTCACCTAGTCTGTCAGAAAATCCTATTAACTATACTTTTAAGATATATCCAGAATTTGAGCACTTTTCATCACCTCAGTATATTTTCAGTGCTCAGAAAAGTGTCTGACACAATTGTCATGCAATAACAATTTGTTAAAAACATGGCATGAATCAAGTTATATCCCTCCTATCCATAACATCCTTAACAAAGCTGAACACATAAGGTCTTTATGTGCTGTAATCTGCCCCACACCTTCCTCTCTATTTTCATCTTTTGCCACTAACCAACCAGTATCTTCTGCTTCGATCATAGTGACCCACCTCAAGTTTCCCAAATCATCATGCAGTTTTATTTCTCTACACCTTGGACAATGCCATTTCCTCAACTGAGGTCTTTTTTATACTTTAACAGTCTTTCAAGAGTCATCTCAGCCAAGAAAAATCTTACCCTAGCCAAAATACCTCCCTCTGTGCTTGCCTACCTCATGTACACTCTTTCACAGCACAAACCACACTCTACTGGGACATACCTGTCTCCCTGTCATAATCCTAAGCTCGCTGCCTTTTGCCTCTTGGTTTGGTTATTTCTAATGTATAGCACAGAGCCTGGCTCTTGGAATGCAGTAAATGTGAGCAAATGAATAAGTGAAACTCTGTGTACAGAGTTTATTCACTTACAAAATCATAAAACAAGAGGTAATATAAGAATATATTCTTTCACAATAAAGATGAATGAATTCTTCTTTAGCAGCGACACTTCATACTGATCTTTAAAGGAAAGATGACTGAATATTTGCTTTGAGAGTAGTTTATTTTATTCCTCAAAAGTAATCCAAAGGAAAAGACAACATAACCTATCCTCTTCCTCTTCCTTGAACAATCATTCTCTCTTTGGTCTAAATAAAAATATCACAAATGAGTATACTCTAATTTCATTTTTAAAAATTCATCAAATTTCTATGTGCGATATACTGAACTAGACGCATCATCTTCCACTTTTACCAGCACCACCCCTCTCTCTTCCTTTGTCTCCTTCTCCCAAGATTGATATTAGCCAATTGTCATGTCTAAAAATAATTGTGCTGTAACCATACAAAGGATACAAAATGCTTTATTATCACAAGTTTGCAACTATATTAAAGAAAGCATGTGTGGGCATAGGCTGAAAAAACAATATGAGACGCAGTTCACCAATGTTTACTGAGCAGTACTGTGACCCATGCCTTGTTCTGGATGAGAAGATTACAAAGAAGGAACAGTCCCTCTCCTTGAAGAGTTCAGTCTTTTGGAATTTATGTAAATCACCGTTACCTCATTTGATAAGTAACAGTGGTGCCACCTGCTCTGTTCTCAGCTTGGAGGACACCAATGTGCCCCAGGAGTCAAAACACTCAGGTGTCTGTGGCCCACCAGGATTTATGGGCCTGTGGGGAATTACCGTGGAGGGTGGCAACTAAATCATTAATAGGAAGTAAGATTGTTATTGTGGTGAAGTAGGGGTCCTCACATGATTACCAAAAGCTCAGTACTGGTGTCTCTGAAGCACAGCAACTGCAAAGGCACTACTCAAAGAGCCAGTGTATGGGGGCAAGGTGCTGGAATGTATCATAGAGCCTGCCCCTTGCCCAGGCATGGCATTAACGTCTGTTCATAGCTTCCCTTCTCTGTGTCTGCACAAGCACCTTCTCCCAGCACCAGTTACAGGAAGGGCTGGGCCATCAGTTAATTCACAGACTAAGAGATGTGAAGTATCCAGTACCTCTCCTAAGACCCAAAACATCAAAGACTTCTTCTCTCCCCTCAAAAATGGCCAGGACCTGAGAAAATCCTTTTACCTTCTAGAAGGCAAGACAATACACCACAGTCTATTCCTCCTGTTTGTATCAGCCTCCATCTCACAAATGCAAAAGACACTATTTCCAAATACAGGCTTGCAAACATGCTGAAAGACAAAATACATGCTAGGTCAGAGATGCCTGCTTTAAAGTCGACTTTTTATTTCTTTTTTCTTTTTTTAAAGAGAGGTGTGTGTGGGTGTATGTCTTTGAGCCTCTTGGCTGGATCAGGGTTTAAACGGTTGGCTGCGGTGGCTCATGCCTATAAACCTAACACCTTGGGAGGCGGAAGTGGGCAGATCACTTGAGGTCAAGAGTTTCAGACCAGCCTGGCCAACATGGTGAAACCCCCGTCTCTACTAAAAATACAGAAGTTGTCTGGTTGTGGTGGCGCACATCTGTAATCCCAGCTACTCAGGATGCTTGAGCGTGGGCAGCAGAGGGTTGCAGTGAGCCGAGATTGCCCCACTGCACTCCAGCCTCCTAGGCAACAGAGTGAGAATCTATCTCAAAAAGAAAAAAAGAAGAAAGAAAGGAAAGAAAGGAAGAAAGGAAGAAAGAGAGAGAGAAAGAAAGAAAGAAAGAAAAAGAGAAAGAAAGAAAGAAAGAAAGAAAGAAAGAAAGAAAGAAAGAGAAAGAAAGAAAGAGAAAGAGAAAGAAAGAGAGAAAGAAAGAAGGAAAGAAAGAATTTAAATGATGCCTTTGGAGCTCTTTCTCTTTAACATGTCTTTGTCCTGCTTCTTCGGGGTGAACATCAGTTCCCCCAGCCCATTTCATAACGGCAAAGTCCCCCTGCCACCCTACCCTACCCTTTCCCTGAGGCTTCAGGTTAACAAGGTCCTTAGCACCCAAAAAGTCAGCACAAGAAAGATCCTTTCTTTCCAAGAGTCTCTAGAAAGGACTCCAGTGGGCTTTGCTTGGTCATATGCGTGTCCCTAGACCACAGGTGTGTTCAGGAAGATGAGGTGCTTAGATGGACCAGCTTGGGTCACACACTCACTATTACAGTGCAGAGAATGTGAGGGAAAGCCTCACCGGGTGACAGAGGCATCAATTCCTAAAAGGAAAACATTTTTAGCAGACAACAAAACAAAACCCAAGAGCCAAGTGTCCGCTACAGTAGAGGTGAGCAATAAAGCTGACTTCCAAGTTCCTGCTCCCAGGGAATGGTGATGTTGATCAAAGTGCAGAGATAAAAGCAGTTTGAGCGCATATGAAAAATTGAGTTTTTAAAACGGCGAGTTTAAGGCGCATGTAGGATATGTGAACGAGCTGGTCAGTAATCTCTTGGAAAAAATGATCCAGGAGCATTTTTAAAAGGTGCATTTTTAAAATATACATTTTTTTAACATAAAATGGATTCGTGTTAGGCTACATCAAGGTAAGCAACAGGAAACCCACCACAATTCTAAAGTGAGGAAGTTCAGTACTCTATTTTTTTTATTTTAGAAATCTCCAGAGACTTACCAGCACCCCAAAAGCCGCACTTCCTCCAAACATCTCTGGACTCCCACTGCTTGACTTAGTTTTGGGGTCACCTCATCAGAGCCTACTTGGCCTACTGGCCCCAGAGGCGGCGGTCACGGACTACAATTCCCAGCGAGCCTCGCGAGGGGCGGGTTGTGGGCGGAGCGAGGGACGGCCGCGCGCGCCAGCTGCCAGGCGGGGATCGGGCGGCGCCGAGCCGAGGTAGCGAGGGACTAGCTCCCGGATGTGGAGAAGCTGGGGAGAAGGCGTGGGAGGAAGATGGACTCGGTGGAGAAGGGGGCCGCCACCTCCGTCTCCAACCCGCGGGGGCGGCCGTCCCGGGGCCGGCCGCCGAAGCTGCAGCGCAACTCTCGCGGCGGACAGGGCCGAGGTGTGGAGAAGCCCCCGCACCTGGCAGCCCTAATTCTGGCCCGGGGAGGCAGCAAAGGCATCCCCCTGAAGAACATTAAGCACCTGGCGGGGGTCCCGCTCATTGGCTGGGTCCTGCGTGCGGCCCTGGACTCAGGGGCCTTCCAGAGGTGCGCATGTGCGAGAGTGGGCGGCGCGGCCTGGGCGGGGGTCGGGAGAGGGAGTCGGGCTCCTGGAGGAGCTGGGCCCCCAGGGCCACCGCTCCTGGAAGGGGCTCATGGCTCTTGCCAGGGACGTGCAAGATCCGGGGTGCCTGGGGCCGGGCTGAGAGCCTAGGAGGAAGGGCTCTAGTTCCTTCCTTGTTCTGTAGCTGCCAGTGGTCATAACCTGGGACAGTTCCTGTCCCCGCCCTTGAGAATCATCCGAAAAAGGTGAGATTACACCTCCCCAACCGTCCCCTCCTCCCGGTTGACCTTACGAGGAAAAGTAAAGGAGGCCACCCCCCTGCAACGTCTGTGATAATATGTGAACTCCTTTGGACGAGGGCCATTGAGGCTCCCCTGTTGCTCAGCCTCTGGTAACTGCTTGGTGCTGATCGATTAGAGAGGCATAAGGTTCATGAATGGAGTTGAGTGTTGGGGTGTCAGAGCTGAATTTCCAGCTCAGCTTGAAGATTTTTTCCTAACCTTTGAAAAACATTCTAGCTATCTGCCTGTGAGTCAGCAAAATCTAGAAAGCTCCCTACATTTATAAATACGTGAGACCCAGTGGGAAGGCATACAACTGGTTGTTTATGATATATTAATACTTACAAATCATTTAATCATACCTTTGGAACCTTGCCTGCCCTAATGACAGTTTTAATTACACATCATTTAGATACATTGCCAAATTGGTCAGAAGTTACAAGCTGATGTCATTCATAAAAGAAAGGAGATAAAATTCTGTGCCAAGAATGAAACTACACATATAGCTTCAACCTAATTACATTTGAATGTGTCGTTATCGTGAAAATTAATTTATGCTAACCTTTTGATGTTTTGGTTTTTAAAGAGAAGACTATATTTGAAGTCATTTTTTTTTATGGAACCTATAATTGCATACTCTTATGAATATATGGGTAAATGATTTTCATTTAACCAGTCTTGTTTAAAAAAGAGAGATGCCAAAAAATTATAAATGTACTGATTTTCTTGATATTTCAACCCAAAGGAAGTCCTGGGTGGAGCAAGGCAAATATGAGCCAGCACTGAGAAGATAACACTAGTGCAATAGGAAATGTGTAAAGGAGAAATGGGGAAAGATCTGGGGATTTTGTTCAATTCAGTAGATATTTATGGAACCCTAATTTCTGCTATACATGTCCAAGGGAATACCAAGACGATTGGGACACAGTTTTTGTCTTTATGAAGCTCACAGACTGTGGGATATTTTTACCTTCTTAGAAAGGGTACAAACTAAAAAGGACTGAGAAGTAGATGCATCCAGGCAACAGTAACAAAGTAAGGTAGCATTTTTTGAAATGAACTAGAGATCAAAATCATATTTACAGTAAATTGAGAACAAAACTATCAATACCATTTACAAGTCTTTAGGTTGTATATGTCAGGAAACCCCTTTCAAACTAGCTTAACAAGAGAGGGGAAGGCTTATTTCAGGTACAGTCAGATTCAAGGACAAAAAAATGATTCATTCAATCACCCCACTTACTGCCTACCTACTCTGTAACAGGCAGTGTTGTATGTACCAAACCAGGTGTAGTAGCAGTAGAGACAACCCTTAGTCTCATAGAGTTTACTTTATAATAAGGAAAGACATGCAGTATACAAGGACATTAATATGTGTTGTATCAGTGATGATAAATGTTTTTAA